ACCTGCCGGCAGCGACACCTGACAGCAGCCCAATCAAAGCGCGACTTCTCTGCAAGGCCACCAATCAACGGAGGGCGCGCACAGGCAACAGTCAGGCTGCGTTGGCCGGCGCTTCTGCGCGGAGAAGGGTGGCCCCTAGTGGCATCTGGGAGGAAGTGCAACCTGATGCTCCGGATTTCTAACTGCGTCGCCCAAGTCCAGATGCTTGGTCTAGACAGAGACTTCCCAGTGAGACCGACAAGGGAGGAAAAGCGCGATGCAGGGGAAGAAGTAGAATTTGTGCTATTGCATTTCTAAGAATACAACACCGGGTCTTCTGTTTGTTTTGTAAAACAAAACGCCCTATGAAATATGTAGAGATACAATAAACGTAGGTTGAAAATGTTAACGGATGTAGGAGAATGATAGAGAGACGGGAGACAAAAACAGAAATAAACACCAGAAAGTCGAGGAGAAAAAATGGATGGAATGGAATAAATTGATTCTGTCTCCACAGCCTGCTTGTTCTCAAGCCTTCTGATTTAGAACCTAGACAAACCTGGGTTTTATTCTTGGCCTTGACTTTAATAGTGCTGCAGCCTTGGATAGCATTGTTTCTTGTTTCTCGTTTGTCAGAGAGAGGGATTGCGAACCTAACTCACAGGTTATTAATTATGTGAAAGCATTTCGGATACATGTATTGCTATTATCCTTGCATCATCACTTGGACTTATCTGTCAAAACAATTCAGGGTTTCCCTGTTTCTTCTCTGCAACCTCAAAACATCTTACCCCTTTATCAGTCAAGTGCCTCAACTGACCCCCAGGCCTATCACATGAAACAGAGAGGATTCTAAGAGAAGTAGGTACCTAGTTTATACTCAGACTTATATCCCTCTCACTACTCCAATCCTTAAACAAGTTATTAAAGCATCTTCTAAGTAAGTAATTTGTCTTCTTTTCCCCTTGAAAATGTAGACTCAGTTCCTAGTCACCCCCTGGAACAACCCAATTCAAGTCAATGAAATAATACATAATCATTATTTAAAAGTATTTGATAAATATTAATGGTTATTATTTATCTTCTGATATAATAAATATATATATTGACTACTTCCAATATGCTGTAGGATTTTTTTTAAGTCTTAATACACTATGTGCCAGAGACTTAAGGGGAATAAGAAAAATATCCTAATTTATGCCTTTTCTTAGTGGAGCTACTACTCAAATTTGGGAAGCTATATGACCCAGCAATTCCATTCCTAGAGATCTACCAAAAGGACACAAAAACATTAATTCAAAAGGATACCTGTACTACTATGTTTATTGCAGCACTATTTACAATAGGAAAAACCTGGAAAACAACCCAAATGCCCAAAAATAGATGACTGGATCAAGAAGATGTATATGTACACAATTGTCTATATACACAATAGAATATTACTTAGTTATCAAAAAGATAAATTCATGCAATTTGCAGTGACATGGATAGAGCTAGAAGGGATCATACTCAGTGAATTAGGTCAGAAGGAAAAAGAAAAATATCAAATAGTTTTACTTAAAGGAGGAATATAGGGAACTAAATAAGACATAGGGAGAAAAAATAATAACAAAACAAACATTGACAAACCAGAGATATCTTGCTGGTGGGGGGAGGGATCAGAAGAGAGGGGCATTAGGGACTGTGGTGATGGTGCATGGGCAATTTGGGGAGGGAATTTTATGGGGTCTACACCTGAGGGGGGGAGAAGTAAACACTGTTTTAAAATGAATAACATTGTGTGTGTGTGTGTGTGTGTAAAGTAAAAAAAAAAAAATTGGGGTAGCTACTCTCCAAACTTGAGTAATTACTCTACTTCTTTGAGAGGGCCTTATTTTTCTTTCTGTAATTCTCTCTTTAATTTTAGTAGCCAATAAATAACAACCCTGTTTGCTCTAGAAGATTGCCTCCCTCCTTATCTGGGTAAATATGCACCAGTCTAAGTAATTATATTTGCTTCCTCATAGGTGCTCCTTAACCTAAAAAATGAGCCCCTGTGGAACAAATAACATTTTCCATCACTCCCAAAATGACTACACTTCAACTACAGAACTCTACTCTTAGATAATTACTTTCTTACCAGCAGGAGAAGTTCAGTGATGGACCTAGCTGAGAGGTGCATGGCCTCTAAGGTTACCCACAAATGAGGAAGGCAGTAAGAGGAACACAAGGGAAGTCTGAGAGAAATGAAGGAAATGAGAGAATAGAAGCCGAGTGGGGTTTCATTAGTGGGGCCAGAGAACAGATGTGAAATGAGTATCTCTTTCTTAGTACTACAATCCTCTGGTTCCATTCTGTTTTGTGAGTACACCAACATAGAACTGAGGAAAGAACTAATGCCAACATACCACTCCACTATAATTGCCCCTGTACACTGAAGTCCCACATCTCTATCTTTTTTCCTTTTTTTTTTTAAGATTATTTATTCATACAGAACTGAGGTACAGGCCAGAGATGCGGAGGGTGAGAGGCTTCACCAGAGACAGAGCGGGGAGCAGAACAGGCAGATGGAAGAAGTACACTGCTGAGGGGAGCAGCGGGCGGGTCAGGAGAGGTCTGCCACGCCATGTGGATCTCCTCCAGGGCAGGCGGGGATCGAGCTCATGCAGAAGTGGCTTTAGCTTTTTAGTGCAGTGCTTTAACCCGCTGCGCCACCAGGGAGGGCCCCTTTTTTCCTTCTTTAAAGATTTATTTTTATTTATGCATACAAGAAATGGGGTGTAGGTCAGAGGTGCGGGGTTGGGGGTGAGAGGAGTCACTAGAGATAGAACGGGGAACAGAACAGGCAGACTGACTGAAATATATTGCTGAGGAGAGCAGCGGGTGGGGAACAGAACAGGCAGACTGACTGAAATATATTGCTGAGGAGAGCAGCGGGTGGGGAACAGAACAGGCAGACTGACTGAAATATATTGCTGAGGAGAGCAGCGGGTGAGACAACAGTGGTCTGGCGCAACACATAGGTCAGCTCCCTGGCTGGAAATTGAACTCATGCTGCAGTGGCTGCAGTTAGCTTCATAGTGTTGTGCTTTAACCTCTTGCGACATCAGGGAGGGCCCCACATCTCTATCTTTTGGTTCCAGCATTTATTCTCCTTCCTGTAAGAACAGAGATGAGGTCCCACCCAACTTACACTGTGGAACTGTGGGAGCCAAGCCCTCAAATCTGAGGTGAGGAAGAGAACTGGAGGAAAGTGGAGATTCCCTGGTGACCTTATGATCTTGGATACCACTCCCTCTTACACTCTGGATTAAACAGCATTAAGGAGCCAAAAGAAGAAACACATGTAATAGTTGGGGACTTGTGTCTGCCTGTTCCATGCCTACACCCAGTCATCTCAACGCACTCTGTACTTCACTTTACACTGTCTTCCAGTACAGGAACTGGGAGCTACCAAGAGGGAAGAGGAAGAAGAAGAAACTAACAATTTGCTTCAACCCCCTGCTCCTCACCCAGTTCAACCACCAAGTAGCCAAGCTTGCAGAGAATACTCAGAGGGAAAACCCGAGCAGCAAACAGGTCTGAGTTTGTAAAAGATTCCAAGAAATAAGAGATAAAAGGTGAAGTAGGAGAGGAGGAGGAAAGAAGAGGGTGTGGGGAAACTAGGCAATCGTGAGAAGTGGAGGTGGGAAATAGGGTTTCAAATTGGGGGTCAAGATAGGGAAGGGGAACAGAGCACAGCTGAGTGAAGAGT